CGTGTCCCGCACCCGCCGGTCATGGAACACCACCCGGAATATGCTCTGGAGGGGAGAGACAGCCAGCGCCTGGAGCCGCCCCAGAAGCCTGACGGACTCCAGGCTGTGAGGCATTTCCCAGGGCAAGGAATGGGGCAGGGAGGGGAGCAGAGGGGCCTGAAGGCTTTGGGAAGAAGCCAAAGCAATAAAATAACACCCAGACAGACCCTTGGGACAGAAGCACGAAGGCGGCAGCTTATCTTTCCTGAACACTAAGCAATGAGCAGTCGCCTCTTGGCTTGACCCCAGGCCCCACAAGGCTGGTGGGACATCAGCAGCCAGGATGGTCAACACGGTGGGAGAAGGGGAAAGGGAAAACAACCCCCGACCAAGCCAGATCCCACACGCGCTGTCACGGAGGCCACTGCAGGAACGCAGGGACAAGACCTCGCTCGCTGCTCCCTACAGCCGGGGACAGCCCCCGTGGGACACGCGTTGTCACGCTCTCCGCTTACCTTCACCAGTTTCCCGTTTATCTCCGGCAGCTCCCCGAGCTTCCTGTTGTCCAGCATCCGGATTTCATAGGACTGGCCTGAGGGAAAGAAGACAAGGGCACCTCACGGTTAGTCAGGGATGGACCTTCGCTGCTGCCCTTCCTCTGGCATTTTGACATCTTTTTCTGCCACCTGAACGTCTCGCCATGTTTAGTGAGGGGTCATATGGGTACGAGCCACTAGAGCCACGGCCATAACGTCCCTCTCCAGGAAGAGATCATCCTCCCCCTTCCTGCAGAGTGCTTTCCAGGAATTACCCTTCTTAACCCAAGATCAACACCAGGGCAGAAATCGATTACACAAGCTTCATCTGCCTTGGGTCGCCAGCCCTGATCTTCCAGTTCTACTGGAAAGCAGCCAGTACGGCCTGAACCTGTAAAACACCTGCTGCAGAGCCCCCAGCACGGATGCACCAGTTCACTGCCTGCCAGCAAGCTGGTTTTAATGGGGTTAAATTGCCCCAGAAAGACAGACACGGAGCTGCTGGAGCGGGGCC